AACACAGAAGATGGCTGAAAAAAATTTGGTACACAAGGACAAATACTGTATGAGACCAAAGTTGTAGTAAGTTTTTTTAAAAAGCTTTCTTGATAAAAGAAACAATCTATGCTGGTTACAGAGTTGTTGTTGTTGGAATGTGCCATGGAGTCGATTCCAACTCATAGTGACCCTGTACAGGACTTCCGTGGATGTATATCTTTAAGGGAGCAGAAAGCATCATCTTTCTCCCACAGAATAGCTAGTAGTTTCGAACTGCTGATGCTGAGGTAGACAGCCCGATTTGTAACCACTATGCTACCAAAGCTCCTTTGGTTACAGAGTGGTGGAGGTGGTTATGTGGCATAGAGTCATTTCCTACTTATAGCGACACTGTGCAGGGTTTCTGAGGCTTTAAATCTTTACCTGTGTCATAGCTTTCAGAATCACAGCAACTCACAAGCCATTACAGTATGACAAACTGACAGATGAGTGAGTGGTGGGTATTTTAAATACCAACAGGGTCACCCATGGTGGATAGGTTTCAGATGAGCTTCCAGATGAAGACAGACTAGGAAGAAGGAGTGATGAACTACTTCCAAATATTTAGTCACTGAAACCTTATGAATAGCAGAGAAACACTGTCAGATATGCTGCCGGAAAATGAGCCCCTCAGATTGGAAGCCACTCAAAATGTGACTAAGCAAAAGCTGCCTCCTCAAAGTAGAGTTGACTGTGATGATGTGAAAGGAGCAACGCCCATGGGCGTAAAACCCAAAGACCCTTCATTTGCTGATGGGGCACAACTCAAAATGAAGAGAAACAGCTGTAAACATCCATTGAAAATCGGAACATGGAATGTACAAAGTATGAATCTGGGAAAATTGGAAGTTGTCAAAAATGAAATGGAACACATAAAAATTGGTACCTTAGGCATTATTGAGCTGAAATGGAATGGCATTAGCCATTCTGAATCAGACAACCACATGGTTTACTATGCTGGGAATGATAAATCTAAGAGGAATGGTGTTGCATTCATTGTCAAAAAGAACATACCTAGATCAGACATGAGGTACAATGCTGTCTGTGATAGGATACTATCCATGCGCCTACAGGGAAGCCCAGTTAATACCACTATTATTCAAATTTGAACACCAATCACTAAAGCGAGTGAGGATGAAATAGGAAAATTCTACCAACTTCTTCAGTCAGAAATTAGTCAAACATACAATCAAAATGTATTGATCATTACTGGTGATTGGAATACAAAAGTTGGGAGCAAGAGGAAGGATCAGTAGTTGGAAAATATGGCCTTGGTGATAGAAATGATGCTGGAGAATGCATGATATAATTCTGCAAAACCAATCATTTGTTCATTTCAAATACTTTCTTTACACAGTATAGAGATGACTATACACATGGACCACGTCAGATAGAATACATAGAAATCAAATTGACTACATCTGCGGAAAGAGACAATGGAAAAGCTCCATATAATCAGTCAAAACAGTTCCAGGGCAGAGTGTGGAACAAACCATCAATTGCTGTTGTTGTTGTTAGGTGCCATTAAGTCAGTATCGACCCATAGCGACCTTATGCACAGCAGAACAAAACACTGCCTTATCCTAGGCCAACCTCACTACTGTTATCTCGCTTGAGTCCATCGATGCTGCCACTTGGCCAATCCTTCTCGTTGCAGGTCTTCCTCTTTTTCTCTGACCTCCCAGCTTACCAAACATGATATCCTTCTCCAGTGACTGGTCCCTCCTGACCATATGTCCAAAATGTGAGAGATGAAGTTAGACCATCTTGGCCTCCAGGGCGCACTCTGGCTGCACTCCTTCTAAAATGGATCTATTGGTTTTTTGGGCAGCCCATGGCACTTTCAT